GCATATAGCTCACCAGTCATGGGCGCAGGAGCCGCGAGCAACCATAACCCTTTGGTTTTCCTGTCAAGTCCTGGTCAATGTTGGTAAACTTCCGAGCATAGAGACTTGCCCAACTCATACAAGAAAGAAGCTTTACGTCCCAGACAACTGAACAATTTATCGCGAATGACATATTTTGAGGACCCGACTCAATCGATGATGACAGAATGAGGCCAAATTAAGTCAACAGTCTGACAGGCGAGGAAGTTTTGTTACAAATAGCAAGGTGGCCTTTACGAAAAGTGCATTCCAACCGGGCACAAAACATCTCAGTAATGTTACAAAAGCTCCCCCCCACATCATAAATCAAAGAGGAAAAATATTAACACACTCGAGAAATCGGTAATAACCACAACCTGCTATCGTAGCCAAAAACTTCTCTATAATTGGCACGAATGCCATGATCAAAGGCGCGTTTGTCAGGTCCACCCTCGAGCATCGGAGCACGGAAAGATTCTGAAACAACTTGTTAATAAGCATGTCTACTTATGACAAAGAAAAGAAAGACTGCGCAAAAAATAAGGCTACAGGGATGGTTGTAACGATTTTGAGGAAACTTAAACATACCAACTGTAGTCCTATTCTTCGCTGTTAAGTAGAGGTGATAAAAGAAGAGAAACGAAAGTGATATGGCAAACATTCCGGAAACGAAAACCAGAAACAGGATGTGAATTTTGCTAGCCTGAAAGATCTACACTCGAGATCAGAAAGAACTACAGCTTCAATAATTAGAGTAAAAAGAGACAACATTTCCTGGACACTGAATACTTAAAAAATGCTTTGCTAGAGCATTTAAGGTAACACGCAGCGCAATAAGCTCGTTTTTCGTTAAAAAAAAAGAGGCTATACCGGCGGCTACCATCACAGCAGGTATAAGCCAAATCAGCCGTGAAGTTTATAACTGCGACACACTAGGCACACTATCAAAGGATTTAGAGGCAGTGGCGCGATGCTTTCGATAATCAGCTGAAGTCAAGGGAAAATGGAAAGCCTGGTGCCGGTTTTCGAAAGAACGGCCCACAACTACAAGTATCTAATTTTGAAGTAAAGTTAGTGGAAACCGCAACGGCAAACTACCCTGTACAATTTTCGTGTCAGAAAGTAAGGTAGCGGCGGTAAAGCAAAAGGTAGTACAAGTGATTCCGCATTCAAAGACTCCGTCCACGTTGTCAAATATCTCATCGGTTGTCTTACTTGTCTGCGTGCTCTCCCGGCGAACTTGTAGGGCCTCTCGCCCGAACCGCATCCATTTTTTTGTCTCTCGCTTATCCACAGGGAAAGCCCCATTTCTGACTGTTTCCTATGCTTCTTTTATTCATGGGCGAGTCAATTCACGCATAGACTCTTACTTGCAATCCCGATTAAAACGAGCTTTTAGCTCTCTCATCACGAATTCAGTCCAGGAAAAGTATTCACACGGCGAGGCTCATCAATCAATAGACACAAGAAGGACGCCTACGAATTGGTTGAGCAAGGAGACCATTTTTAGGAAGGGCGCCAGACCCTTCTACAGGGCGCGAGTAACGCAAAGAAGTAGAAAACACTGGATTCTTCTTGAAATCTGTGGTATAGAAAGAAAACAGCATGATCTCCGAAAAAATGACAGGATTTGTTTGGAACGAATGACAGCCAATTCTCGATCGCTACCTTCAAATTTCGTTCCAAGTAGTCCCGCGTCCAAAACTGTATAAAATACGGCAAGTCAGTGAAGAAGACGAAGATACAGAAAACGAAACCATATCTGGAACTAAGTATTGTGAAAAGAAAACATCGAGTTTCGACAATAACGAAACCTCACCCCAGAAATAAGAGAAAAAACTTGTAGTTATAAAAATTGACACAGTTGTTTACCCAAGGGCAATGATGATCGAACTTTCTGAAATGACACGGTCATGCATAGCTCGAACCTAACGACACCTCCATTGCATGAGTCACCCCCTCACCAAAGTGCTCGACAGAAATATTACAAATGGAAAATGCAAAAAATACTGAAAAATCACCAAATTGACCGAAATCAAACCATGCAAAACTTACAATACACACTGTCCACAAATGGAACAATGATGAGCTCGATCAGGCTTTATACATTTACATTTTGCGCAGAATCGTATTCCTGAAAATGATCCATTTAGTAAGCGAGAAAGTGAAACTGCGAGCCAACACGAAGGAAATTATAATGAATCCAACTGGAAACCAAGTCGTACAACTCAACATCTCAAAGAGAGCGTAAGTGCCATTAACCCTGTATTGGAAAACATTCTTTCCGTCCAATTTTCATGGGACCGCCTTTACTTTTGGTGAATAAAGACCAGTCTATGAGATAACTTTTGAAGACTTTCAACACGAAAACCATTAACAACTTTTCCTTTACATTTCAGAACCCTTTTTGGCGCAGTTCGGCGATAAAGGTTCGATGGGAGGCATTTCGCACATTCCGCAATTTCACACTGTCGATTCGAGCCATCAAGCAATGATACGTGAAACCCTATGAAATTTTGAAGTAATACCAGTCAAAGTTTGTAGAGACAGTTGTCAAATATTGCAATGAATACCAGTCAATACTTGAAAAGCTATGAATACAGCAGTGGAAATAGCGGAAATGACCTGAATTCTCACCCCCTTCCCGTGCAAGCCGAATTGCGTCCCTGTCTAACACTTTTAAAATCTTCGCGGCGGAATCATACTGATGATTTCTAGGGACAATATAGATAACAAACAAACCTCTGGCAAAATCCCTCGTTTTTATCGGCACCCTGTTTCTTGCCACATAACGAGAGAGGATGGCCTGTTCTGACGGTTCATCACGCTCGCAGCTTTCCAGCTCTCTCAGGCAATCCTTATCAGGAAAAACTGAAAATCATGTGTCTAGATAGTGGTAATTTCTGAACAAAAAAAGGAAAAAGGCCCTCGAAGTAGCCATTTCGACAAGACTTTCGATAACTAACAATGACACGTGAGACTGTTGCTTTGCTTTCAAAGATTTGGAGCTCATTTTCTGGATTTGAACATCAAATAGCGTGCCCTTGACAAGACGTCTGAACATCATTTTAACGACAGCATCACTACTACCCTGACTGAAAAGGCGGAAGGGTTTCATTGAGAACAGCCTTATGTAAATTAAAGATAGTGCTTTATCATCCAACCCTGAAATCTCCAGCCGTGTTATGAGTGGTTAGTGATCCACAAGGCGCTCGCAGCAACATGAGTTCCGCTAAGCTTTGCAAGACCTTTCCACTGTTTTGTTAATGTCACGTTTCAGTGCAAAGCGGATTGAACGTCTGCTGCCTTTCTCGCTGCTCTTTCATCATCAAAAACGGTATTAAAGGTGGAGAACGCGCGATATTAATTAATTTCCAAAAATCTCCGTGGGATACGACGAGCATACTTATTCCTAAGGCTTTTAGAGTCATAGCACTGAACAGCTGCTGCGGTGATCAGAATTATTTGTGGTATACTCCTCTCAGAAACCTAAGCGATGGCCGACAGCTGAGAAAATTATGTTACACTCGCTAAGGATGTACCACAAAAAGGCACTCACCAACGGTGCCGATTTTTCGACAACCCTTCAACGAAGGAGCGCTAACTAGCAGTTCAGGGACACAAGTCGGCCTGCGCAGCTACGCAGCTCCGCTGGAAAAAACTGTTAAGCCCTGAGGAGGGAATGGATATCAGCAGCGCTGGCGATATCAAAGGGATATCTTTAAGGGCAATCTTCCTCGCTGGGAAGGTCCGGCAGACATTTTCTCTCGCAGAGCACTTGAGGGGGGGGGGAAGAAAAGGAAGAAAGAAGTGGAGAAGAATGAAAGAGGAAAAAATGAGGGGAGGGAGGCTCCGGGTTGACAGATATTCTGGGACGCTGCCGAGCGCCCTATCCCTCTCTAAATTACATAGCGTCCCTACGCTGGTCACCGCGTAGGCCTTGCTAAAAATCATTAGTGCGACTGTGAAACGTTCAGAACCCCTTTATTCTTGGAAGCAAGCCGAGAGTTATACATCCAAGACACGCGTCCTAATCTGCGCCGGCTGTTCGGTATAGGAGGGGCAATTCGCACTTTCGGTAGTTTCTTTCACTAATATCTCTGACTTATGCGTCCCATCTTGGTGAGACATGTAGACCCCTGTCAAGTGGAAAATAGCTCTTGCTACTGCACAGCTTTACAGGAATCTATGGGTCTGCACAGGGAGGCATATTCAATGAGCGATGGCGACCAGGAAATGCCCCCACTAAGCTGAACTGATCTCCAATTTTGTTGACCTTATTCCAAATGGCCACTTCGAGTAAGGACTGCCTTTGGTGAGTAGGTTGTAGTCCAGAAAAAAGGAAAAAATCCAACAAAACACTTACAATCGAAGGTGGTGGGCGTAGATCTGAGAATATCGTTCGATAATACGAAGCACAAAATAAAAGCAATAAAATATGAAAGAAAAATAAATAGATCACCCGCTGTGCGTTATTGTCCAGAGTATCTGCAAGAAAAAAAATGAAAATTTTAGAGAAAGCATAATGTATACTAAAATAAAAGAACACTCACTAATGCACAATTCGACGACGTATGCATAATAACCCCATCCTATTGCACACATAATGATAATTACTGGAATCCATCGAACAGCCTAAAAATAAAAGAAGAGAAGTTTTTTTTCAAGCTCGTAAAATGCTAAGTGGTCATGGAAGGGTGATAAAAGCGCGCCCGCTGATCAGAAAAAAAGAATATGGAATGGGCGAAATTGTGCACATAACGCAGTTGACAATGGTAAGTAATGTCATAACAACTGTAAATAATTTTTGATTCCCCAAAGGAAGGCGCTTTTGGCTACGTGACAATTCATTGTTGTGCATATTACCGCAAGGTTGCAAGTGGCATCACAAATTGCGGCGAAACACAACCCGGATCCCTTTCTCACGAGTATTCATAAGGTCGTGTAATCTCAGATTCATCCAAAAAAATGGAATAAATTTGGCTCGAAGCAACCGTTCAATAAGCGATAAGTGTCCTTTGAGTAGATGTAGTGGAGTGGCAAGTGACATGCTTACCACTCCAGGGTGGTCCGTGGGTCAAATGTCGGATTATCCCCGGGTCAACCAAGCGTTACCTTCTGAGGCGGTAAATTGGTACCAGATCCGTCTTGAAGAATAAGAACTCTTGTACTTGTACATCGGCCAGCCCCGCAAGTCATTGTATAGGCCACATCGCATTCAATAAGCCACTACGATTCTGAATGGAAGTAGAATGCGTGCCGCATCCCACAAAGGGATTGATCAACGGCGAAGACTTT